GCGTTAATGTGAATGATGAGGAGCGGGGTATATATATAAAAAAATGAGTGAAGCAAGTAAATGCTTTTTTTTTTTGTTCATAAGGAGCAGTAAATCTTTTACGATGGAACACACTTAGTGAAGTTGAACGATATTTATTAAGAGAAAAAAAGAGGTGTGTGTATGTATGTATATATGTGTGTGTGTGCGTGTGTGTGTGTGTGTGTGTGATTACAAATTTTTAACGACCATGAGAACCTTATGTGATGTAAAAGAAAAATTGGACAATAAATCGAAACAATGACCATAAATTGTCATAATGAAGATCACCAATTTCATTTATAAACATATCATTTAACAAACAAATTGTTTAAGTAGAAAAAAAATTAAGAAATCACATGAGTTGTTTTTTTTTTTTCTTTTTTAAGTAAAATTTAACTAAACTTTGGGTATATTTTTTTTTTATTATTTTTTATTTTTTTTCATTCGTTATCATATCATTACTTACCATTAGCATGATCCTTATTATTTTCTGGACGTACTTCAACGCGTATAATCTTGGCTGAGGCTTTATCAATATGACTTTCTATGGTATCTGAGATTCTATTGAAATTTAAATTTTAAAAAAAAATTTAATTTAATTTCACATCTTCAGTTTTCTAATATACCTACCTAATTTGACTAGATGGTCGTCGTTTGATGCGTTTATTATTCGGTCTCAATTCTTCTAAAAATTTCACCATTTTACGATCAGCGACATCAATACATGTCTGGCCAGCATAATTGCGAACATCCATGTCGCCCATGGCGTCGACCAGCATTTCAGCTGCCTCTTTCTGACCCCAATGAGCGGCTGCGTGTAACGGTGTCCAACCATCATTATCTTGAGCATCTACATTAGCACGGCCAGCGAGCAATAAACTTAAAACCTATGTATGATAATAAAATTCAATGAATAATGTTTTATAACTAAACGTAAGGAGAAATCTTGTATCGATATTTTTCATTTCTTAATTACCTTAGTATAGCCCTTCGCTGCAGCAACATGTAACGCTGTAGCTCCCGTTTTCGGATGTGGTCGATTCACTTCAGAAGCGTCGCTACGTAGCCACCTTTTGGCATCGCTTAGCATTTGCTGTTCTTCAGCTTGCCGTGCTTTGGTACAATCGATTTGTTGCTCAGCCACCATTTTTTGCATGAAATCAATCATGGGCACATGTTGAATATCGACAGCCAGATCGACGGCTAAATCGCCATCGCTATTAACGGCAGCCACATCAGCGCCATGCTCCACCAAATATCGTGCTATGCTTACGAATCTGAAAGTGACGTGAAAAAAGGAAATCTCGTAAAAACAATTAAGAAGAAAATCACAAAAAAAACAAAAACTGAACTTAAGATAAGAACTGAACCTTAAGATAACAAAGCAAGAGGAATGCCTTTGGAATTGTGTGAAATGTAAAAATTTTGACGATATAAATTAGCCGTATTAACTTACCCACAAGATGCTGTGGCATGCAACGGGGTCCAACCTTCATTATCTTGTCTGTTAATGTCGGCTCCATGTTCTACCAGAAATTCTACCATTTCTAAGTTGTCATCAATACAAGCCTGCAAAATATTGAAAAAAAAAAAAAAATGAAAAAAATAGAAATAATTTTATACTATAATTTTATAAAAATAATTAATTGATTATTTTATTTAATTATAAAAATCTGCTTTCAAAATTAATCAATAAGTTTAAAGGTAAGTATTCTCCTTTTATATTTAAAGTGACACTCGGATTAAGGAAAAAATATGAAAAAAAAAAATTTTTTTAAATTTAAAAAAATTTTTTAAAATTTAAATTTAAAAAAATTTTTTTTTGATTTTATAATTTCAAAGTTTGCATTCGATTTACTTAAAGTATTTTTTTTTCTTGTAATTTTCTCATTATTGATTATCCGGATCAGACGGACGAACATAGTAATTTATTCAAAGTGGTGGTACTATTCTGTGAGTTTAGTCGAAAAATTTTGAAATTTGCAGTTTTGTTTTTGCATGTAACGACTTTTCAAAATAAGGCATAAAGTGGATCAATCCGAATCATTTTTAATACAGTTTGTCCTTGAGTCAAAACTCGTCAGTATACCAAATTTCATCAAAGTATCTTAAAAATTGCGGCCTGTAGGTTGAACACAAAAATACATGGACAGACATTGAACGAAATGAAGGACAGACGAGCTTTGTGAATCAGGAGATAATTCTGAGTCGATCAGTAAAAGGTGGGCCTATCTTAAGCCCTTCTGGGTGTTACGTACGTGAATCGTGTGTGAAAATAAACACGAATTCAATTAGCAAAGACAATTTTTTCAGCCAACCGAACAGAATTCTGCAAAGGCGCTAACCAACACTAGTGTAGGCACTAACCAAAGCTATGCGTTAAACATTATCAGACTATAGTTGGATTTGAAAGCGCAGATTGTCCGAATGAAAAAACTTCAGTGTGGTGTAAGAAACAAAGTCTTGCAGCAGGGGGAGGGGAGGGAGACAACGACCATAAGCTGCCCATTACTTGCAAGGAATTGGTTTTGTCTTTAGTTCTGTGCATGTCTTCGATGAACAAGCACATATTCTTCGACAGCTTACGTCAACGTAGTTTGCGTAAAAAAATATTCTTAAAAGTACAAGTGGCTTGAGAATCCGGTAATAAAATGACGGCGTGCGTACCTTCTAGGGATCATATTCATCATAACCAAAAAAAAAAATTTTACCATTTATCGAAACGTCGACAAGTGCCAGATTTGGGTTGCGAGGCCTGGTTGACCTCGCAGTGCACACGTGAGTTTGATATTAAAATTCCAACATCTCTGACTGAAGCTGAACCAACATTAAGTATACATAAATAGTCGAGAAGCCTTGAATTTTGTCATTACGAGTTTTGCGAGATGGTCGACAGCATTTCAAGCATCTATTAAGAAACGTGAAGAAGGAAATGTCACAGTTTAAAGATATTTTAATATAGACTCTCGTCATGTTCATGAGCATATTTCAAATTTTCTAATTCGACCATGGCCTGACACTAACAGCATAGCAGAGCTATGTTATTGCTTTTACAGAACAGCATTAAAATAGTTGGTAAATGTCTTTGCTAATTAAGTTCGTATTAAACTTCACACGTTAAAAAAAAAAAAAAAATCTGCAAATTTTATATGCGATTATACAATTATGTAAGCGATTGATTGTTATTCAAAATACGCCTGAATAGTTTTAAATATTTTCGGCCGAAGCAATTGTTTATGCCTTTTTTTTTTTATTGGCTGGCATTTATACGCATATAATCATAGGTGTCATAGCACTTATCCTATAATTGTATGTGTGCGCTGAATTCAATAGAAATTCTATGGCATTTTTTGCAATAAATGACTTGAGAGTCATATAACTTTGGTAATGCGAACCTTATTATCAAGCGATCATCGAATCAACGCGTTTTTTTTTTTCGTCTTGTTTTTTTTTTTTAGATAAATTTAGAATAATTACCCTACTTAAGTGAACCAACCGTAACTGATATCAGTCCTTATTAGTGTGAATACTTGTTGAATTTATACACAAATTAAACAATTTTTAAGCATTAATTGCTTATCTTTAAACTTTCTCATCAAATCATAATTTCATCCATCCATATATCATTACCTAATTTTCGTATAATTGCACTTGGAATGTGAAAATTTTAAAATTCATTCGAATTAGTTTTTAATGGGAGTGTCCAGAGGATTCTATCTCACTAAGGAAAACACACTAGGGAAGAAGAGTTAAATATTTTACGTCACACGTCAAATAGTTACGTACGAGGAGTTTCGATTTTCGAATTTTTTTTTTATACATATATTGCTACACATATGTATGTGTGATATGATGGTTAGATGTGTGTTTTGGTGTGCTTAGCGATTTGTCGCTTTCGAAAAAAATGGATCAAAGAATCCGTATTAAATTTTATATGAAAAATATAATTAAACCGAAAGGTGCGAAAATACCCTAATGATGATGCCCGCCGCTCTGCACGCCCAACCGATCAAAACGTTAAAGCAGTGAAGAAAATTGTTGTGGAGAATTATCGAATCACTATCACAGTAGTTGCTGAGGATGTCAACATATCGGTTGTCTTATTTCATGCAATCTTTTCGAATCTTTTGGGCATGGATATTGTACTACCATAATAGGCGGCAGCGCATACTTCGTTGCTTATTCCTGAGTTGTTGACAAAAACAATACCGTAATCAGTCAGCGTATTCACCCGACTTGGTCTTCTGCGCCTAATTCCTATTTCCAACACTGAAAAGACCCATGAAATGATTGATTTTCGCACCGCATCGCTGGAGGAACTCAAGCCCATAAGTTGCGAGGTTTGGAGAGACCGCAGACTCAAGTGTAATAGATCTAGATGGGAGTATTTTGGAGAAGACAAAGTAAGTATTGATGCATAAATAAATATATTTCGAGAGAAATAAACACTCTCCTTTTTTTTGAACACACATCGTATTTGAAATGCGATCGCTCTATTTAAATATAAAGAAAAACATGACAATTCTTAATGACAATCTCTAGATGTCCGTCGAATATTATGCTTCCTATTTTAGTTGGCTTTTATCTGCTTCATCGTTGAGAAAAGCTGTTCAAAAACGTAAGACACTGCCACTGGGCCACGACCCACAATTAAATATCCCACATCAACCACCTACAGTTATTGATGCAACGACCTTTCGGCGTTAAAAGGCGTTAGATGGGGAATAGCCTTGATCATTTTTAGCAGCGCCCGTCCTTGGGCCGAATCACGTCAGTGTACCAAATTTCATCAACATATTTCAAAAATGGTCACCTATACGTTGAACACAAGAATACTTGGACAGGCATCAGACAGCCAGACAGGCTTAGATCGATTCAGAAAATGATTCGGTCGCTATAATAAAAGGTGGATTTATATTAAGCCCTTCTGGGTGTTGCATGCATCCGCATAAACTGGACACAAACAACACGTGGTGGGTAGTGTAGAGTGCAATATTATCTCGTCTCTGCATAATGTTTTCTGGCTACATATATTTTGGGCCTCGCATACGTTTTGGCCACCGGCATCTCTTGATGAAAATGATAAAGTAATGTAGTATAAATTATTAATGTACACAACACAGTTAAATCCAATGATTTTGATCTTCCTCTATATAAAATAATAGTTTTCCATTTAGTGTTACTGAGTTATTAATTGTATTTAGGCACCTAATCATGGAACGCTCAAAATTGCATTTTCAACATTTATTAATCTCATTTGCTTTAATTGCCTGCTACTAGGTAAAATAAAGTGTGCTTTCCTGAGGCTGGCTGACTAGCGACGAAAAGTGGATCTACTACAACAAAGCCAACCGCAAAAAGTCATGGGTTAGTTCAGGAGAGCGAGTCATCCACATCGACGCCGAAGCGGAATAATCATGGTCATAATGCTTTAGTGTGCACATGGTGGGCTCAGTTAGGCGTAGTGTACTCTGAAAAACCGTTATTGCACAAATTGAACGGTGCATTGCTGCAAAAAGACCAGCAATAGCGATTAACAGACGCAAAGTCATCCTCTGGCATAGCAACGCTCGGCCACAGGTGGAAAGAGTTGCCAATGACACACTACTGCGGCTCGAATGGAATGTTCGGCCGCACTTAGCTTACCCACCAAAAATAGCGCCTTCTAAATGCCACTTGTTCAGATATATATGTAGCATGACTTGGTTAGCACGCGGTTTCGTAACGCTGAAGAAGATTGAATCGCTGCCAAACCAATATCATTCGTTCGACACGATATCGCCATGTTGCCAAATAGATGAGAAAAAGTTGTAGAAAATGATGAAACAATATATATATTGTGCCGATATTTCTCATTAAATGCCGTTTTCTAGTGAAAAAATGATCAAAATATATGCAAGCACCTAATAGTTTATTTCGATAAATAAATTAAGATAAATTATCATCAACCACATTTCTTTCTAATTGTGAGCGTATGAGACTCATCGTGGTTGGATTCGCTAATTGTGATCCGATTTAGGGTTAAATTTGAGAGTAAGTTTTGCATATAAAAAAAATTTAATTTCGATTTCACGACCGATTGGATTTTCATTTCGTATCTACTTATACTACAACTGTTGATGTTTGCAAGCATATGCGCTAATGAGGTGCATTTGACCATTATGTGCATACTGTACTGTAAGATGGATAAGGTAAAAATTTTTTGTATAACAATGATATGTTTTTTGAAGGTTTCATTTGTAAAATCTGTTCTCCGGCGCATTACTTTTACAACCGTTATATCTAAATAATTTTGAGCTAAGCTGCCCAGAAAATGTTGTGGTTGTTTAGACATATTTGCCTATCTGTCGGCGTTTTGTTCAATGCTTCACATTATCATAAGTTGGGGCGCATAGCCAAAATTTGTTATATGTTATATCTTCTATATATTTAGTTGATGGCCACAAATAAAATTTGAAAAAATGTGCGTAATCCATTCACAAATACTAACAAAATTTAGAAAAGTTAAGAAATACTCTACATTATTTCATTTAATATAACGGTTCATCTTAAAAAATCCGAAATCATAG